AGTTGTTTACTTTCTTGCTTGAGGAGCTTCCTCCAGGATGGAATGTTTCTATCTCAAAGGAAAGTGTTACACAACAGGGAGTGCTAGGGCACAAGCATGGAGAGCAGGACAAATTGCTGGAGTGTTCTCTCTTTCTACCTCATGGGTTATAGGGATCAAATTCAGGTGTCAGGCTTTGTAGGAAGCTCCTGCATTTACTTGCAAGACAGCTTCCTGGCCCATTTTTGTTGTTGTTTTTGTTTCAAACCACTAAAAATTTTATTATTATTGTGCACTTGTGTGTACACATATGTGTGTGGGCACTTGTGCTATGGAGCGTATACAGAGGTTAGTTAGAAAACAACTTTGTGGAGTCAGTTCACTAATCCCACCTTAATGTGACTTCGGGAGATCCAATTCAGGTGGATAAGCTTCAATGAGCCTTCATCCGTTGAGAAATCCTTCCCACCCCTTTGTTTTGAGAACAACTCTTGATATGTAGCTCTGGCTGGTGGACCTTGCCTTGATCCTCTTGCCTTTGCCTCATTCTTGCCTCCTGAAGGCTGAGATGATAAGCTTGAATCCTCACACCTGATGAGCCAACCCCCATACCCTAAACTGGAGAACCAAATTTAGACCTTAAGGATGCCAGGCAAGTGATGTATAGCTGGGTTACAGTCCAGCTCTTCTTTGTTTTTCTTCCTAAGGCGAATGTCTTTCTATACAGGAGATTTATTTATTTACTTTGGTTTTTTTTTTTTTTTTTTTTTTTTTTTTTGCAAGATAGGGTCTCATTGTGTAGCCCTGGCTGTCCTGGAACTCACTCTGTAGACCAGGCTGGCCTTGAACTCAAAGAGATCCTCCTGCCTCTGTCGCCTGAGTGCTGGGATTAAAGATGTGCACCACCACTGCCTGACTATACAGCAGTTATGTAAGAAAATGTTTTCTTTCCTAGTCTCAGGTCCCTGATCTAAGACCCCCCCATTCGTGCGTGGCTTATATTCTTGTATCAGTTCAATATTAATCTTCTCATTCACCATTATTTGCAAAGCCTGAAAGCCTGAATTCTTTATTCTGTGTTGGAGGAGACTAAAAATTCAGTCAAGGACCATCATGAGTTTTTAGTGGATAACCAGATTAACTGAGTTAAGTTCCAAAGTTCATTGACAGATAACTCCAGAAGAAAACCATTGGCAAAAGGCAAAACAAAATATGTCATATGTGCTATTACAGAATAATTGAGGTTTAGTTAAACTACAAAGACCTCTGGTATTGACTCAGAAGTGGGAAACACTTTTCAAATTATAAACAATAATGCCAGAAAAAGTTATTTTCCCCCAAATGTTGTACAGCACAATCCTTTGGGTAAAATAGCCACCATCTTCAACAGATGAACTGTGCCTGCTTGCAAGAGTTTCTCGCCCTTCACTGGGCTTGTTATACCCCCTCCTAAAGGAAGGGGTGGGGCCCTCACCAGAGTTTAGTAGCTCTTCCCAGGCATTGTACACAACTGCATGTGGTTGTATGGGGGGACAGGGTGTCTCTGGAGGTGCTAGAGTATATAAGCAAGGAAGAATAACTGAAGTGGGGACTCCATCTGTGAGGGTATGGGAAAGCTATCATCCGTGTTGGGCCAATTCTTTACAGTGCAGCTGCTGTGAATAACCCCTCATTCATGCTCTATGAGTAATCTCAATAAACTCATTGGTTCTCCAGGATGAACTTCGGTGGAATCATATTTTGGTTTGCTGTTGGGACCTTAAAAGGAAGTAGACCAAAACATTTTGTTTTTCATTGCACATTTAAGTAACTGGCTATATATACTTTTAAAGATGGGCATCTACAATGAACAGATTATTAATTATACTTTAAATTACTTTTTGGGAGAACATGACAAGATCTCCCTCTGTAGCCCAGGTCAGCCTTGCCTAGAGCTCATGATCTTCCTGTTTCAGCCTCTGAGTTCTAGGATTATATCCCCATGCTATATATATTGTTAATCACAAAGATTCAAAGAGAAAGACCACCAACCAAAATCATCATGGCAAAATTAATTAAAGCAAGCTTTTTAAATTTGTGTACATGTGCTGCCTCCCACTAAGGTGGGGTTCAAGAGGTCAGCACTGGATATGAGGAAGACAAAATTATTTTTTAGTTTGTTTTTAAGATTTATTTATCACATATAGAGTGTTCTGCTGGCATGCCAGAAGATGGCACCAGATCTCATTATAGATGGTTGTGAGCCACTATGAGGTTGCTGAGAACTCAGGACCTCTGGAAGAGTAGGCAGCACTCTTAACCATCTCTTCAGTCCCGAAGACAAAGTTTTTATAGCTCAGGAGTAGGGGGTTTCCAAATCTGGGATTTGGCAGGCAAAATAGGCAGCGTTACAGAAGCAGAGCAGAAGCATAACCATAACAAGTTAGTCATAACGACCTCCTGAAACAAAGACGTAATTAAAGGTGGCCATAAGGTAATGTCTTCGGGTTTCTATTGCTGTGAAGAGACACATGACTATGGTACTCTTTTTTGTTTTTGTTTGTTTTGCTTTTTTTTTTTTTTTTGGTTTTTTTCGAGACAGGGTTTCTCTGTGTAGCTTTGCGCCTTTCCTGGAACTCACTTGGTAGCCCAGGCTGGCCTCGAACTCACAGAGATCCGCCTGGCTCTGCCTCCCGAGTGCTGGGATTAAAGGCGTGCGCCATCACCGCCCGGCTTGTTTTGCTTTTTGAGACAGGGTTTCTCCATGTAGTTTTGGTGCCAGTCCTGGATCTCCCTCTGTAGACCAGGCTGGCCTCGAACTCACAGAGATCTGCCTGGCTCTGCCTCCTGAGTCCTGGGATTAAAGGCATGCACCACCACCGCCTGGCACCATGGCAACTCCTATAAAAGAAAACCTACAGTTTCAGAAGTTTAGTTTATTATCATCATGGCATGTTGTGTGCAGGCAGACATGGTATTGGAGAAGAAGCTGAGAGTTCTACATCTTGATCCACAGGCAGCAGAAGCAACTGTGTGTGACACTGGGCATAGCTTGAGTATAGGAGACCTCAAAGCCCATCCCCACAGTGACACACTTCCCCCAACAAGGTCACACCTACTCCTACAAGCCACACTTCTCAATAGTGCCACTCCCTATGGGGACCATTTTCTTTCAAACTACCATAGTGGTCATAACAATAGGCAGTCACAACAACTGTTTGAAACAAAGGTAGGGTTGCAAAATGGTTATAAATAACTTTTTGAAACAGACATGATTGTCATTCCTGGAACAGGCAGTATAGAATCATTTGTAGTTAAGGTCACAAGTGGAGCAAAGCCAATCCTTGAGAAACAGAGGTTGAATCTAAACAGGAATGAGCCTAGTTTGTCTTTACTATACAGACGGCTTTTTAGCCTAAGATGGAAGCAGTCTGGTTCATCAAAATAATTCCTGGTTTAAATAACTTCTTTATCAAAAATAGGTACATATGATTTCATATGGTCTGACGTGGGTTTTTATGCTCTTATCTAAAACTAACAGAGTAGAACACATTACTTAGAAGGTCTATTTTGTAAGAATGTTTGTGTGTGTGTGTGTGTCTGTGTGTGTGTGAACTTGGTGAAGATAAACTGAATCACCCTACTAAAAATAAACCTCACTAGCTCTTCGATAATCTTAGAGTGAAGAAAAACACCAGTCGAGCTGTTAGCATCCGGGCATCTGTATGGGCCTGCCCTGGGGTACTCAGCTGTTAGCATCCAGGCATCTGTATGGGCCTGCCCTGGGGTACTCAGCTGTTAGCATTCGGCATCTGTATGGGCCTGCCCTGGGGTACTCAGCTGTTAGCATCCAGGCATCTGTATGGGCCTGCCCTGGGGTACTCAGCTGTTAGCATCCGGGCATCTGTATGGACCTGCCCTGGGGTACTCAGCTGTTAGCATCCGGGCATCTGTATGGGCCTGCCCTGGGCACTCAGCTGTTAGCATCCGGGCATCTGTATGGGCCTGCCCTGGGGTACTCAGCTGTTAGCATCCGGGCATCTGTATGGGCCTGCCCTGGGGTACTCAGCTGTTAGCATCCGGGCATCTGTATGGGCCTGCCCTGGGGTACTCAGCTGTTAGCATCCGGGCATCTGTATGGGCCTGCCCTGGGGTACTCAGCTGTTAGCATCCGGGCATCTGTATGGACCTGCCCTGGGGACTCAGCTGTTAGCATCCGGGCATCTGTATGGGCCTGCCCTTGGGTACTCAGCTGCAGCCACTAAGAGCACCCCTGCGTGCATTTGCTGCGGCATTCCCGTCTCTTTCACTTCTGGAATGGGATCTGGTCTCTGCCCCCTTCTCTGCTCCTTCTCTCTCCTCTTCCAATAAACCTCCCATGTCAGCCCTGTTGTATGGTGTAAATCCTTCCCATAGGTCCCCCCCCCCCCCCCCCCCCCCCCCCCCCCGACAGGGTTTCTCTGTGTAGTTTTGGTGCCTGTCCTGGATCTTGCTCTGTAGTCCAGGCTGGCCTCGAACTCACAAAGATCCACCTGGCTCTGCCTCCTGAGTGCTCGGATTAAAGGCGTGCGCCACCACTGCCAGGCTCTTCCCATCGTTTTTAAATTGTAACATGAGCCATTTCCTATACGCCATTAAAGCACAAATTGGGAGGCTGGGCATGGAGGCTCAGAACTTGGGAGGTGGAGACAGGAGGATCAGAAATTCAAGGTCATTCTAAACTACACAAAAAATGAGAGGCCTGGCTTACATAAAACGGTCTCAAAAACTCAAAACAACTACTTTTGGATCTTTCTTTGGCCATTTCTAAAAGCCACAGCCTGTCTGAATATCAGCTTGAATAAACTTAGTGGAAACTCTACATTTTCGGCTCTTAGCCCTCAGGCATAAGAACACTGGTAAAGAAAGGGTGAATCCTGTGCTCTGGTGTAGTTTTGGGTAAGAATGGTCATTTAATCCCACCCCTTTTCTTTACACTAATGGCCCCTGTTAAAGATCAAAGGATAATGATGGAAACCTGTAGCAAACCTTCATTCACCCTTTGGGGCCTGGGTGAGTTTATTTTAAACGGGTTTCACAAAACTATTACAGTTCTCATTTACGTGTGTGTGGGTGCATATGCCATGGCTGGCATGTGGCAGTCAGAAGACAGCTCACAGCGATCCATCTCAGGGCTATTATTTGGCTGCAAGCTCTTTCACCCTCTGTGCCATCTCACAGGCCCTAGAGGGGTGTCTGGCCGGAGACGACGACAAGCACAAGCCGTAACCGACAGGGGGCGCTGCCACCTCCCCCTAAGGCGCCCACCCCCGGAGGCGCGCACGCTAGGCCTCCCACCGCGCCTGCGCTGAGTGTGGACTCCAGCTCGCCTTTCCCCGACGCCCGGCTGTCTCGGCCCGGGTGAAAACTGCGTGACACGCAGGGAGCGTAGCGGCCATCTTCGTCTTCTGGGCACGTCAGCCGAGCGCGTTTGGGCCGAAGAGAAGCGCTGCGCAAGCGCACCCACGACGGCCCCAGGTAACTCCCATCTGACGGGAGAGGCGTCGCCGCCGCCGCCGCCGCCGCCGCCGCCGCCGGAAGTTTGGTGTTTGTGCCGCGGGGCGGCGACGGCCGCGGCAGAAGCAGCTGAGTGTCTCCGGGTACCCGGATGTGAGGCGACCTGCGGGCTCGGCTGGACCCCGGCCGCGCAGCGGGAAGGTACGTGAGCATCCCCCACGGCCCCCGCGTCCTCGCCACGCTCTCCCATCCCCTGCGGGGGGCGGGCGGCTGTCCTTCTGTCCCGCCCTCCCTGCCGGCCGCCGCACACCTCGTCCTCGTGGGTCCCGGCTCCTCGCACCCCCGGAACCAGCTGGAAGGCTCGCGGACGCGGGCGCCGGAGGCGGGCGGCTGCGCGTCACCTGCCGCGGCGTGCCGGCTGTCAGAGTGAGTGAGGAGCCGGGGGTCCTCGGACGGCTGGAGGGGCGTGCAGCCGTGGCGACCGCGGGCAGCCTGCGCTGCGACCCCGCAGGTAGCCGGGCCTGGTCCCCGCGCCGGCCTCCCTCCTTCCGTCCGTCCGTCCGTCTCCCTTCCGCCGTCGCACCCCGGCCTCCTGCAGCAGCGGGGCTGCGGCGCCGGCGCCTCCCGCTGACCCGGCCTGAACCCCAAGGCCCTGCAGCGTGCCGGGCGGGATGTGGGGATCCCGGCTCCCGCGTCTGCATCTGGGGAGGGGAGCGATGGCCGGTTCCCCATCTCAGGAAATAGTGCAGGCTGGAGATGGGGGTCGAAGCACAGGTAGGGTCCTTTGGGGGCCCCGGGGAAGTTTTGTATCGGTAGAGAGGTGTGAGCGGAAGCGAATTGGGTCTCAGATTTTGATCTCACTCGATAGATTATAACGAGGGTTTGTTTTGCACAGGCAGAGTAGTCTGTCACCAAAAGTCCGAAAAGCGGATCCCCACACCCCACCTCTAAATGGTACGTTGTGAAAATGCGACGGGGACAGAATTTTGTAGTGGGTGGCGGTAGGCGGGGGAGTGGGAAGGACGGGAAGATGCTAGAAGTACTGCAGTCTTAGCTGGAATGGGTTCTTATAGCAAGAAGCAGTGGCAGCACACAGTACCTAAATGGTATTACAAATTACAAAACAGTTGTTTTTTTCTTTTCCCCTCTCAGAGACTCACCACGTAGTTAAGGCTGGTCTGGAACTCAGATCACCTTTAATCCCTAGTGCTGGGATTAAAGGTGAGCACCACTACGCCAGTATCTTACTTGGTGAAATAATATGATGTGACCTGATGCCGCTTCTCCCCCAAACCTAAACAGTTTCAAAAAGTAGGACTGAGGGGCTGAGGAGATGATTCAGCCGGTAAAAAAGGCTACTAAGCCTGACGAGCTGAGTTTGATACCTGATCACGTGGAGGCAGAGAACTGGGAGCACTGACACGGAAGGTCAGGTGTCCTCAGTATACATACATATAAATAAATGTAGGCATGGAAGGTCAGGTGTCCTCAGTATACATACACATAAATAAATGTAGGCATGGACTGGGGGTGTGGTTCTGTGTGTATAGCTTAACATGAGCAAGGTCCTGGGTTCAGTCTCTAGGACCAGAAATAAGAAACTTGGTGAAACACAATTTCAGTTGTGCTGGTCAAGGTTTCAGTGAACTAAGCTGTAATTTAGCTTCTCTGGTTGCATTTTACATAGAGTACTAACACTAATGATTTTTTTTTAACTTGAAAAAAAACTTAAAAATTCCCACCGAGACTGAACAAAACAGAAGTAAATGAAAGTGCTTAATTTGGAAGCTCCTAATTCGGGCTTTTATCATCTGAGGAAATGAGGAAGTTAGAATTGTAGTAGACACACTGTTCCTCTGTGTGTGTGTGTGTGTGTGTGTGTGTGTGTGTGTGTGTGTGGTTTTTCGACACAGGGTTTCTCTGTGTATTAGCTTTGGCTATCCTGGCACTCACTCTGTAGACCAGGCTGTCTTTGAACTCCGATATCCGCCTGGCTCTGCCTCCTGAAATGCTGGGATTAAAGGCGTGTGCCACTACAGCTAGCAACAAAATAATTTTTTAATGAGCACCATTTCAAAAGTTGCTGATTAGTGTGATATGTAGTTATTTCGTTGTTACATTTTCATACATGTATTAATATATTTCAGTCACAGTTACTCCCCCATTACCCTTTCTCATTCCCCTGCCACTCCGTCTGACCACCCTCTTTTACTTTCCAGTCCTGGGCTGGGGTACCAATGATTTTAATTAGGATTCTTTATGGCATCATGAGCAACTAACTTAAGAGTAGCTACACCGGGAGAAAATGTCTCTCCTCACCAGATCTCCAGGGAAGGGTGAGCCTCTTGAGTGTTGCCCTACCTTCAAGTTCTTCTTATCTTAATCTTATTTTATTTAACATCTGTCCCATGCCAGGTTTTTGTACCTCTTTTAAATTGAGAAATTATGCTTCACAAAAGGGACACTCATGATGAATACCATTAACTCCCTTTGCAGGATGGTCTTTTTTGACTTGGTGATTCATCAAAACACAAAGTTGATTGTTATTTGTCCTAAAAACGAAAGTGACTAGGGTTGCATAATTCAAAATAATGTATTTTTATAATAGTTGAATATTTTTTTCTGTGACTTTTATGAGGTTTGTCTTTCCCAGAATTCACTGAATAACCTCAACTGTTGGTAATGAATTTAAAGGATAGAAACTGATACCAGTAAAATTATTATTACTGTAGGTAATTCATTAAGGAATTTTGTTAACCCTTTTGAAGCTTAGGCTTTTTGTGAGTGTGTACATGAATCAGTGAAAATTCTTTGGCTGTGTATTTCCAGAAATTTTGTTTTACTACTGTAATTCTTAGTAATGAAGCATTATTCTCCTGGTTTTTTTTTTTTAAAGATTTATTTATTTATTATGTATAGTTTTTCCATCTGCACATATCCCTGCAGGCCAGAAGAGGGCACCAGATCTCATTACAGATGGTTGTGAGCCACCATGTGGTTGCTGGGAATTAAACTCAGGACCTTTGGAAGAGCAAGCAGTGCTCTTAACCTCTGAGCCATCTCTCCAGCCCCCTGGTTTTTTTTTTTTTTTTTTTTTTGCTTTTTTACTGTTTGACAGTTTGATTTATATAATGAGTTTCAGTCGTTTTCACCTCTCATTCTCTCCCTCTCCCATTGGCACTCTTTTCAGAGTCCCCTTCCTACTTTTATGTCTGTGTGGATGTGGCGTCCATGAGTATGTATCACTGGAGTTCTCTGAGAGTGGGTGGGAATTTATTCACTGGAGCAAAGGGTAACTTATAGGGTTCTGGGTCATTTCTCTTTGGGAATAGGGTGGTACGAATATTTGAAAATAGCAAGATTCATTCTGATCCCGTAGGAGTAAATAAAATAAGACATTAAGTGTTATTTTCATGCAGTGGTTCTTTCCTTTAGTTTCATTAAAATAGGGTCTCCTGTCGCTCAGGCTGGCCTTGAAGTACACCTGCTCCCACTTCTCAGGTGGTGAGCACCCAGTGTGCTCTCCCTTCTCCCACTTACCTTCTGGAGTGACAAGATCTCACTCCATAGCCCTGGCTGGCTTCTCCCTCTGCAATACTGAGAAGAAAGGGGTGAAGCACCAAACCTGGCCTTTCCTCCTTCCTTTTTTTCTCCACCTCTTCCTCCATAAGTTCTTGCTGTGTAAGGAGGCAACCCAACTGCTGTGATGACAGGTGTGTGCCACCATTTGTGGTTAATGTTCTTGTTCTCATTTCAGAATCCCTTTGTCCTCTTAAAAATCATGTAGCGCCGGGCGGTGGTGGCGCACGCCTTTAATCCCAGCACTCGGGAGGCAGAGCCAGGCGGATCTCTGTGAGTTCGAGGCCAGCCTGGTCTCCAAAGCGAGTTCCAGGAAAGGCGCAAAGCTACACAGAGAAACCCTGTCTCGAAAAACAAAACAAAACAAAACAAAACAAAAAAAAAAAATCATGTAGGTTTCTGTCTTAGGGTTTCTACTGCCAAAGGTTTAGTTTAGTCCATTATCATGGCAGGATATGGCCCATGCTGTGCAGGCTGACAATTGTGTTGGAGGAGCTGAGAGTCCTACATCTTGATCCACAGGAGGCAGGAAGTGGTCTGAGACAGTGAACATGGCTTGAGCTTATATGAGACCTCAAAGCCCCCCTCCACAGTGACACACTTCCTCCATCAAGACCATACCTTTAATGTAATAGTGCCACTCCCTTTGAGTTGATGGGGGCAGTTACTTTCAAACTACCACAGATTCTGAATAGCTTTTTGTTTTCTTTTGTTTTTCCCCGAGACAGGGTTTCTCTGGCTGTCCTGGAATTGCTCTGTAGACCAGGCTAGCCTTGAATTTCCAGAGATTGGCCTCTCTCTGCCTCCCAAGTGCTGGGATTAAAAGTGTGCAGTCACCACCGCCCAGCTCTTATATAAGTAGCTTTTGTTGATATTGTTATATATTTTATAGTTATTGTGTTATAAATAATTATATTCAGATGTATTAATGCCTGAATTAAAAGTTAATTAATATAAGGTGCTAGAGAGATGACTCAGTGGTTAAGAACACTTGATGCTTGTTCTTTTAGAGGACCTAGGTTCTGTTTCCAGCATCCACATGGTGGCTCACAGTCATCCCTAATTCTAGTTGCAGGGGATTTGATACCCTTTTTTTTTTTTTTTGTTTTTTCGAGACAGGGTTTCTCTGTGTAGTTTTGCGCCTTTCCTGGAACTCGCTTTGGAGACCAGGCTGGCCTCGAACTCACAGAGATCCGCCTGGCTCTGCCTCCCGAGTGCTGGGATTAAAGGCGTGCGCCACCACCGCCCGGCTTGATACCCTCTTTTGACCTCAATAGACACCAGACATACACATGGCGGATATACAAACATACAGGTAAAACACTCATACACATTCAATAATAAATCTAAAAATAGTTAATATAAGTAGAATCTTATATTAAAGGTGTGCAGCAATATATAGCATCTTAAAAAAATTATATTTAGCCATGCAGTGGTGGCGCACGCCTTTAATCCCAGCACTCGGAAAAGCCAGGCAGATCTCTGTGAGTTTGAGGCCAGCCTGGTCTACAGAGCGAGATCCAGGACAGGCACCAAAACTACACAGAGAAACCCTGTCTCAAAAAGACAAAAACAAAAAAACAAAACAAAACAAAATTATATTTAACAGTTTATGTACCTAC